GTTTTCCATCTTACAATCAGGTTGTTAAAGCCCTGATTAAAGAAATCTCTTGGCTTTGAAGCAAAAAACATGTCGATGTCCTCTTTAACATCTTCCACATTTGCATACGTTTCCACATTAAGATTGTGTTGCAGCGAACGAAAAAATATGGTAATCTAATGGTGCCATATCTAGAGAATATGGTGGGTGGAGGAGAGCTTCCCAACCTAACTCCATAATCTTGTGTTGCGTCAAATGTGCCACATGTGGACGTGCATTGTCGTGGAGAAGAAAAAACACCTTTCTGATTGACGAGTGAAGGGCGTTTCTGATGAAGGGCTTGATTTAAACGTTCTAGTTGCTGAATATATAGATCTCTGCATTGACACTTCGCTGTGGATTGAGGAGTTCGAAATGAGTTACTCTTTTGATGTCCTACCAAATGCAAAACATCACTTTCTGCGGCTGGAGTCCAGGTTTTGGGGTCGGAAGTGATTTTTGTCTAGGACTGAGTCATTGTTTATGGCATTTAATATTTAATATTCTCTATAGAATCTATTATTCATCACCAGTGAGAATTCTGTCTAAAAATGGTTCACGCGCATTACGCACCAAAAGAGACAAAGCAATGTTCACACGTTGGAAACAATGATCATCAGAGAGTTCGTGAGGCACCACCTTCTTTATGGAGTTTTCCCATATTCCTTAGATGTTTACGTATTGTTTCATGAGAGACATGCAGGGTCATTTCATGAGTGTGTTGCCTTCGGTTAAACTCAACCAGCATCTTCAGAGCATCAATTTCAACATGTTGGCCCCTGCCATCTCAGTTTTTAAGGCTAAAGTCACCTGAATGAAATTTGCCGAACCATCGTTGACACTTACGAACGTTCAAAACATTTCCATAAACCTCTTGGATATTCTTTGTGGCTACAGAAGTGTTGGTTCCCTTCTTGTATTCAAACAGCATTATATGCCGAATGTATGTCTCGTCGTGTACAATAACTATAAGGGATTAGCGTACACTAAACCTTACACATTATATAGGCTAAACTAACGTGACGTTTAGGCGGTTCGTTTAACTATTATATGTGATGTACGTTTTTTGAGGTGGTTAATGAAAGTGTTCCAAAACGCGACATTAATTTCTTGACGACCTAATACTTGCGTTAACATTAATTTCAAGCTATACAAGGTATGATGCTAATAATTAAAGGTTGCTTATAAAAATGTACTATAGTATAAAAATTTTCTAAATAAAATTTCAGAAACTAACTACTTTTTTTGCAATTGGAAATACAAGTCATAATCTTGTGTGGCATTATAGAAAAAATAATATAAAATTTCAAGAACAAGTTGAATATTTCCACATACAAATAACTATATTTTAAATTGTTTTTTGAGGAGTTCAAGTAGTTGGCTGCATCTGTTAATATCACTTCAATTTATAAGAGGTAATATAAAATCTATGGATGTTATTGAGAAGAAAAAATTATATTCTTGTGTATTTTTAGATTTTTTATATTTCATATGATTCTTTATACTTTTTTATATTTTTAGCGAATGATATTTGTTAAGCCTAATCACCAACTAACTAATAATGAGTTTGTAACCAAAATGGCTAACAAATGCTATAAAACAGATATTTTGTTAGGAGTGTTTTTTTATATTTTATACGCTTTAAACGCCATACACACTTTAAAATCTCCAATGACACCACTTGTTTGAAGATTGCTTTTGCATGGATATTTATACTAACCGTATCTTAACTATAAAATTAAAGTACCTTTTACAACGTACCTAAAGAATAATTTTCCTTTTTTCCATAGTTGTCGCTATCAAAACGATCAATAGTATTCAGGTATCTTACTCACATAATGTTGGATGTTATCTTAGACAGAGATACACAGTGCGCGGTTTTTATTATTTATATATGTAACCGTATATTGTTACGTATGTTAATTTCCGGTATAAATTATTTCCGAGGAATTTCCTAATTAAAACTAGTTTATTCTTTCTCGATACAACTTTGTAATACACAGAATTTCCACAGTCACATTAACTTAACTAATTTTATAAACACACGCTATAATTCACAGTGAT